GGCAGCCCCCAGAGGTGATAGGAGCCATTGTTCTCGCTCTCAGAGCAGGCTTCCCATCGATCGAGACATCTGTGCTCCATTTTGTGAGGTAGCAGCAGTGACAGAAAATGAGTGCTCACCTTCTGGTGAGATTGGGATGGGAGTGTATAGGGAAACGTGAAACCCAGGGGCAAGTTTACTTCCCTGAAAGACGTAAGCTACACAATACTCAGCCATATGACAAGAATATACACTGATGCGGTAGAAACACCCGAGAACCTCACTGCAGCCCCACATTGCAATTCACCAGGAGAGCAAATGAAAAGGGAAAATGTGTAATGAGATTCTTCTCAGTATTTTGGCTGCTGCACCCCCTGAGCTCCACACTGTCGCGGCTCCAAAAAGGCCATCGTGAAACCTCAGGCACCAAGGAAATTTCAGTTCCAGCAATTGAGGCCTTTTCCACAGGCACAACCCATCATGTTCCATTTTAAAAGTATTTCCTTGACAGCATCCATCCAAACAAGCCACGTTTCTCCCATTCTCTCTTTGTTTCTATGACAGTCACATGTCAGGGTGTTACGGAGCAGGGAGGAGGGGAAGAAAAAGGCAAACTGCTCCTCCCTTCTAGGTATAGGGGTTGTTATGATTTTGCGCCTGTGATTTTCTGGGTGCACATTCACCAGTGACACCCTCAGACTATGAATACCTATAAATTACTTCCAGGCTGGACCCAAATTAATCTCTCTTCTAAAAGCAAACTCAGTCCTCCTTGCTGTCAGCAGGAACGGGCTAAGGCTCCGCCCTGGTTGGTGCCAAAGCTTGGGCCTGGGAGGGTGCCACCAGCTGGCGGCGCCCACGCCGGTCCCTCAGAGGGAGAGCCCAAAGCACGTGGCTTGGAATTTATGGAGGAGCAAGGCAATAATTCATCAAACACCTACATTCAGTTCTGGATTCTTTGCTCTAAGTCTGCTCTACACAATCTATTTTCCTATCTTGAAAATAACAGTGGGACAAACCTGCTCAGGAAGGGAGAACAGAGGCCACTCGCTGCTGCAGGAGTCTAACCACAGACTCTGTCCTTGTGTTGACAGTTCATTGGGAGTACTGGCATGCTGAATCCCCAACTGGAGAAAATTTGACTCTGAATATTCCAGCTGTTGGTCTGCAGGGCCCTCCCATTCTGGGGGTAAACCATTTACAAAAGGCTCCGTTGATCCCAGGCAGACGTGGGGGAGGCATCATCCGGAGACCGTGGGGCAGCAGGTGAGAAACAGGGCCACGCCCATCTGCAGACCCCACCTCATTCTGCAAGGCGGATTCACCTGGTCTTCAGGGTACAGAGGAGGCCAGGGAGCCACAGGCCTCCGTGCTGCTTGGAACCAGGCTGCTGTAAAGTGGTAGAAATGGCGACAGCTCAGCTGAGGTCCCTGGATACTTGAGAGAAAGGAGTAAACACTCAGGCCAGGAAAAAGGTGGGGACTCTCATTGTGGAGTTCAGGAAAGGCTGGTTCTCTTTGAAGCGAGGAAGGCAGCTGGCATCCTCCCATCTTGGGGCAAAGCATTACTGCTCTCCAAGATGCTGATCTACATCCAAAAGGCACAGGTGCCAGGGTCTGAAGCAAGCTTGGCTGGATGCTTGCATGAGTGGCTGCTGCATATAGGCACCAGCGGGGAGCTCGGAAGTGCCCCATTTTCCAACATCAAGGGCATCACACACACACCACACACACATGCATAAACATATACATATACATCACATGCATGCCATACCACAGACACACACCACACAGAGATACACACACACCACACACACACATCATTTATGCCACAGCACAGGCACGCACACACCACCCAGACATTCACATACCACACAAACACACCACAAACACACACACCACACACAGACACACAGACACACAGATACCACACATGTATATACATACCACTCACCACACACATCACATATCACATAACACATGCACCACACACATATATGATACCACACACATCCACTCCAAGGCAAGCAAGGTTCTCCCGGTGAATGGTCCTCAGGGCAGGCTGACTCCTGCCCTCCCCCTCGCCTCCTGCTTGTTCCCTGCAGGGCCTACCTAGCCTGGTGAGCAGCAACACAGACTCCTCAGGGAGGGGGTATTTCACAGGAGAACGGCTCCTGTAGTTCCCAGTCTCCCCTCTCCCCCAAAGATGGGCTCTGACATACCCCCGTCTGCAGCTGTAGGCATGGGTCACCCTAAGGGGCTGCCAGAAGGAGGCCCCTGAGACATGGAAGGAAAGCAGAGGGTGGGGGCAGGGGAAACAGGCGGTGACCACAGCTCCTGTGCACACATTCTGTCATCTGGTCTGAAGAGGAAATTGAACCTTTTAAAGCGGAAGTACAATAGGAGATTGCAAAAATGTACTGATGACATAAACGGTTAACGTTTATTTCCAAAAGTATTTCTATGATTTGTTGAAGCCCTATTATGTTTGGGTCAGGCACTTCACTGGGCGCACGACATAGATTACCGCTAGTCCTTACGACCGTTCGATGAGTGGGTGCTGCCATCCTCACCTTGCAGATAAAGAAATGAGGGCAGAGGGTGCCTAAGATATGGCACATACAGTGAAAGCAGGACTTGAACAGGTCAGTTCAGTTCCAGAGTCCAAGTTCTTTACCTCTGAACTATGCTTCTATTGTACTGGGAGATTTTGATTGTCCTTGAGATAAAAATCTATTACAAAATGTACCAGGGGAGTCTAGGGGGTGAGATCAAGCAGATGACTGTGGTCTAAACTTTGTTTCTAATTAAATCGGATACAAAAATATTGACTATGTCATCATCTACGAAGTTGCCAAACAAAAAAAATTTCCCAAATGCCAGCCACAGCCACCGACGTCTCAGAGCATTACAGCATCAAGCTGCCTCTGTAGACATCTAAATGCAGAAACCTGACTACAGATGGAAAGAGCCCTGAGCTCCTCACTGCTGCTCCAGTCAGGAAGCAGGGGGCTCACCTTCCCCGGGTGGAGGCCACTTGTCTGAAAAAATGTATTTGTTGGAAGGGCAACCGAATGATTTTTGAAGTCAACTTGAAGCCAGTGGGTGTCAGAAAGCTGCCCACGAAACTATCTTGCCCTTAGGTGATACTGTGTACTATGAGTGTGTCCACCCAATGATATTGATGTCAACAATGCTTTCAGAGTGATTATAGGCATCAGCTTCTGTCACTTGTGTGGTTCCATCTCCTCCGCCCCCATCCCAAGGCCAGTGATCTAGTGGGGAGAGCCCTGTGGCTTACTGCAATCAGTGGTTAGAGAAAGTCTCAGGTTAATGCCACGTGCGTGTTTTCTAGACACTACCTCCCACAGATCTTCAGTTCATGTAACAGGCTCAAGTTGGTCAAAGATAGCACGGCAAGGCACAATGTTCAGTTTTATAAAAATTGAATCAATAAATGAAGACTCTCTAAGGGGGGACAGCCGGGTCCTTGTAATCCTGATGCCTGTCTCCCTGGAAACCATCTTCCTTCTAGGATTATTTTAGGCCAGCCTACAAGGAACTGCTCTTATTTAAAGCTTTGACCCAAATGTGGACATAAGCTCCTTCCATTTATTCCCTATAACACACTTGTGATAGTGCTGGAATATTAAGCTAAAGGTTTATGGATAGCAAAAGAGAAATAAACAAAGAAACTAACATACAACCATACCAGCTGGCATCAAAGTACTGTCATCTCAGCCTTCCTAGGACACCTGCTTCTCACCTTCCTCCAGGGGCCAAGGCTATGTTCACTGCCTGGAAGCATCATCTATCCTATTTAGACAGCTCAAAATCCAAACTCATGGGGAGAAGATTTAGGGAGGCAGGAGTACCCTCATGTCCAAGGTCAACCTTGCTCTTGTTCAGACGATCTGGTCATTCATTCCTTTACTCATCAGATCTCTATTGCGTACTTGCTACATGCTAGACATTTGAGTGGGCTCTAAGGATGAAGCGGTAGAGAAACCACATCTCTGCTACCACACAGCTGCATTTGGTGACCCTCTGGCTTCCTTCACAAGTCCCTGGAGGGTCATGCTTCTGACATGAATGATATTGATGTGTCTACAAAACTTTCCTTTGGCTATTGACTTACTTGCTTCTACTCAGTTCATCCTTTGCCTGAAGGGTCAAACCCTGAGTTTAATCCTCAGAAAGGAGCCTGATGGCCACTTCTATTTTGATTGGAGGAGGGAGATGATGGGCAACTGGGTTGCCTGTTTCCTTGGTTCTAGGGATCAACAGCACAGATGGTGCCAATATACTCACTGAGAGGAGACCTTTTCTAAAAGTGTGTTTTGTGGTTCCTCGTTGCAATGCATTAAGCATCCCAGCTACACCTCCACCACAAACTTGTTCTCTGGGTACCTTGAGGTTCTAAAGGAAACACTTTGGCCCTGGAAATGCATTGTTGGATTTATTCTGCCCTGTGATGTTGACAGGACATCTATACCAAAACACTATACAGTCTCAGAAGTCTGGTTAGGGCCAAGACCAAGGAAGCACTGGATCCCTATTCAAATCCAAAGCCAGGAATTAGGCTTATGTGGGAAGAGGGGTGAAAACAGAATTCTGGAGGCCAGAAGAGCCAAGCCTAGCCTGGTGAATGCTTATTACAGAGCCATATATTCAAGGGCAAGTTGGAGATCTACCAGACAAGCAGTCAAGACAAAGGATTCCATGCCTCGGGTCAGGGGAATGACATAGGACGCGGAGCCAAAGTGGCTGTGACCTTGGAGTTGCAGGAGTAAGTGTGACTCAAAGACAAGGCTCTGCTGCTCTCTGATCTCTAAGGAGCCTACAGTTGCCAGACCCAGTTCAGCAGTTGGCTGGAGAGGAGCACAGCACACTGGGAGGAGCTGGGCTCAAGTCAGAGCTTCTTCCATTTAAGCCATCCTCACATCCACCACTTCCCTAGAGATCCTCCTCAAACTCATGGCTCTGCACTCGGTCCCCTCCTCCACCTCAGCTGCCCAGCACCATGAAGTTCTCAGAGGTCCCAGTCATGCCCATTACTCTCACAAACAGAAATAGGAACAGAATCATGGACAACATTTCATTCCACCTTTTAAAATATTTCCCATAATAGTTCCTATAAATTTACAGCAAGTTCAAGCCTATATTTTTCTATGTATTAGAGTGTACTGTATTTCACTATCTAACTGCCAGGAGGGTAACTCCCTATTGGGTTACTAATTATCATTTTTATTATATTCAAGAGACTGGATTTTTTTGTTGGTTTTTTTTGGTAATTTTTTTCCCTGTAATTAGATGTCATGAATAAATTACAAGACTGTAAATGTGATCTTCGGATTTTCTTTAACAATCACGTTGAGACATGAAGGATCAAAGAGCCAACAAGATAAAAATGGAGGACATAGTTAACACCTCATTCTCCTAGCACAGTGGTTCTCAAGTTGTGGTCCATGAAACTCTGAGAGTCACTGAGACCTTTCCAGAAAAAGCTATGGAGCCAACTTTATTTTCCTAATGATACTGACATGTTATTCATTCTGCTCTTCATCACCAAAAACTCAGAAGGAAAAAAGTCTCAATTAAGAATACACTAGTTGAAGCAGTAAATAGTACTAATTTTATTGCATCTCGAACATTAAGTATGAAAAATGATATTCAAAGTGCATGGAAGACCAATGGACTTTAATGTAACAGAGTATGAATAGTTCATTGATATGGTTTAGGATTCTACATTCCAGCTGACTTTTAAGAAACTTACTACTTGTAGGGTTTTTATATAGTAACAAAGAAAAATATCCACAATTATCTGAAAAGACTGGGAAAATGCTCCTCCCCTTTCAAGCTATCCTAGCAGATATGAGAACCTAGTTGTCTCCTATTAAACCAGACATTAAACAGGGTTGCAAAAATGTAAAACAATGCCACTATTGTCCTAACGTTTTTGTTTTGAAAAAATATAGTTTTTAATAAAAAATGTTAAAAAAAATTACCTGTAACGCTCTTTTAATTTATTTTAAATGAAATAATAAATAAAATTGTTTTTTTAATTTCGCAGCTTTAATTGCTAATATGATAAATATTCCTGGATATAACTTACACAAACTAAAGTTCTTTGCGATATTCAATCATTTTCAAGACAGTAAAGGGGTCCTCAGAACAGAGGAGTTGAAAACTGATGTTCTGAAATGTGCACACATACACATTCCTCCATGCTCACCAGGCCAAAACTTCTTGCCTGACTCACGACGAAGCAGAGGTCCTTGAACTGTTTATAACAAGAAGAATCCATCTACACTAATGAGAGCCAGAATAACACCCACGTCCCCACAGCAGCCACCAACAGTCTTCCAGGGCAGCCTGGAGCTGCCTGCCAAAGAGCAGGAATTTGA